AATTCAAGAACTGAAGTGAGCTCCTTGAACATGTCTTACAATCCTAGCTTTTTCCCAACTGATTATCTGTGGTTTTTAAAAAAAAAAAAATCATTGAAAACTACACACTTTTTCTATGATGTAGAGCTGAAAATGATATGCAGAAGTGACTGAAACGATGGACAAAATAATTCTGTACTGTGGTCCTAGTAAATATATATTCTCAATACTTTATTAATCTTGAGGGACTAATAAAATAATAGGGCAAATGTATTAATATTGGAGGGTATCCCTGAGAAAATGTTTTGTCCAAATTTTATATCTCACTTGTTTCATTTTTAACAATAATTTGTGATTTGTTTTTTAATTTTTTCTTATCTATGAATATAAAAATGAAATTCTTTTTGGTTTAAATAGATACTAAACTGGCCTTTTTGTATGTTTCCAGCAATTTCAATATAATGAACAAGGCTGAAAACATTTGTTTTCAGCCTTGTTAATGGACCAGCATCAGGCTTTCTGTTGAAGATTTTATAGCTGAACTTTACAATTTTTCTTTTCTTTCACTATTTTTCTTCAAAAGTTTGGCTATAAAATCTTCAATAAAAAACCTTATGCTGGCCCTGAAAGAGGCAGAAACAGTTGTTTTACGTATATATCAAAATTACTGGAAATATGTGTAAAGGACAGTTTAATATTTACAGTATTTATACAAAAGTTCCAGATGGAATAAGTTTTTATGTTCTTGTTGGTTTTCACTGTGTACAAATCTTTATTCTTAAACTGATCTGAACAAAAGTTTGTATGGGTATTACTTAGACTCTAAAATCAATACTAAGCTATACACTACCCTAAAATATTGATTTTTGGGTAGTATATATGTTACCACTAAAGCTCGAAAGTCGTTAATGTGTACATTACCTAGCTAATATGCAGATTAACTAAGGTGATCCGTTAAAGTTGTGAAAATTGTTCCATTTCTCAAATTACCCAGATAATATGCAGCGTATCTAGGTAATCTGCACATTACCTACTAGACACTCGGTAAAGTGAAAATAAGATCTTTGCCACAAATAAATGTACCACAAATAGGTGTGCTAGTCACAAAAACCAATTGCTATGAAATTCAAAGTGTCACCAATCTTTAGACTGCACTAATAAGTAAGCACAATTGGTTAATGTTACCTATGGTGAGTAAAATGGCGGCTCATCTCTGATTCCAGCAAAGAGAAGAAAGGACGCATGTTCAAACCTAACCTAACCTATTCTAATAATTTGGTTGGTAATAATTATGGTAATTTATTAGAATAGGTTAGGTTAGGTTAGGTTAGGTTAGAATGTGCGTCCCCACTGTTTCCTTTCTTCTCTTTGCTGGAATCAGAGACGAGCTGCCATTTTACTCACCATAGGTAACATTAAGTGCACAATTATATCATGCGATCACCAGAAAAAGTATGATAACTTTATTATTTTTCATCTCTGGTCCAAAAGTAGGGGATCGTTGAAGTCGTCTCGGTCCCCTCAATTCAGATAGATACTCAAAGTCCTGAAATTCCATAGGTGGTTATCTATATCAGTGTTTTTCAACCTGTGGGTCGCAAAGCCTTACATGGGGGATTGCGGGTAAAAGAAAAAGACAAGTGTTTGTAGGTCCTACACTACAATAAACAAAACTACAATTTCAGTGAGAAGGCTTTGCGTTTTTATTTTAAAGTACAACTGGTTTTTCGATCGATATTTAGGTCTCAACAGAAAGAAAATTAAATACGTAGTTTTTAAAATCACTGATATAGTTTTAATATGGCCCCGGGGAGTCGCCAGAATTTTTTTAACTTGTAAAGGGGTCGCGTATTCAAGAAGGTTGAAAAACACTGATCTATATAATAATTTCCCTAATTGTATTAATATTTTAAACTGTTTGATTTTTTTTTGTACGTTTTTTAATTGGTTGATGATTGATTCTATCAAGTAATTTGTTGATTGTTTGAACTTGATTCTTTAGATATCGAAAATTAAATAAAGAACATTATATTAATTTAAACGTACAGAAACGCTGCTGTTGTTCCAGCAAAGATGTTATTTTCACTTTACCGAATGCCTAGTAGGTAATTTGCAAATTACCTAGATAATCTGCACTTTACGTAGGTAATTTGAGAAATAGAACAATTTTAGCAACTTTAACGGATCACCCTAGTTAATCTGCAGATTAGCTAAGTAATGTACACATTAACGACTTTCGAGCTTTAGCGGTAACAGATACATACAACTTGCTGCAGTTACATGTAGGTAGTGTCATCTGTTGACGAAAAAAATGTTAAAAAATAAATTTATACAAAAAAAGAATATAATTTAAAAACCAAATATTATATTCACTTAATTACTGTGACAATGATATACCCTAGAACAGCGATTCCCAACCTGTGGTACGCGTACCCCTAGGGGTATGCGATAGGTTGTTTGGGGGTACAGAAAAAAGTTAGTTATTATGGCAGAAAAAATAATATATTATGTATCACAAACTAATAGTATTAAAAAATTATTAGTCAAAAAATGTTCCTTGCAACAATCACAACTTTATTATGTATTTTTTTATTTAGTTTTTTTTCTTTAATTTAAAGTAACAATATATAAAATTAACAATACGGGTACTCACTAAATTTCTTAAATGAGGGGTACAATCTAGAGATATGACATGTCACAGGGTACGCTAATGAAAAAAGGTTGGGAACCACTGCCCTAGAACATTATTAGAATTTAGAAAATATTCCGGAATGAAAATACCTGAATTATTAAATGTGGAAAATCAAATACTTATATAGTTTTCACAGTGTAACACTTCATTCTTAAGATGCAATGACATATGTAAGGAATTATGGTAGATTCAACCTTTTTATAGCCTTCACATATATTCCATTTTGACCTGACATTAAGGATGAACTTTTAACTGGACAATGTCTCTTTGATCACCACAGTTTGACAGTACAAGTATTCAAACAAGAGCTCATAAAATTAATTAATATGATAACAAAATGTTCAATATATGGTGAAGCATGCTGTTGGATGTATTCAGTTGAATGGCAAAAAAACATTAAAGAGGGATACCACATGCACGTATGTTGGTTTGGCTTAAAGAAAAAGTTTACTCAACTCAAATTGATAACATAATTTCAGCAGAGATTTCAAATGCTGAAAATTATTCTATTTTGTTTCACATTGTAAAAAAGAACATGATTCATTTTCTATGTGGGCAAATTAATCTAAGTTTACCTTATATGAAAGATGGAAAGTACAGTGGAACCTCGGTATACGACCTTAATCTGTTCCTGATGTTTGGACTTATACCGAATAGGATGTATACTGAACCAACCTTTCCCATAAGAAGTAATGTAAAAATGAGTAATCCGTTCTCATGTTTAAAAAAAATGGCTGGTTTGAGACACCTCGCTTTCCTGGCTAGTTCCTGCTTGATTACTCATGAGATCAGCATGTATCTTTTTAGCTTTCTCGCAACTAAATGGTTGTGATACGCTGTCTCTAGCACACTGTTTTTCAGCTATCTAAAGCAAAAGCAATTTCTTAACATGGTTTAATGTCTTTGATCTCTGTTTAGAAATTGTTTTAACCCGTTTCGCAACGTTAGCAGATTTAATAATGTCGTCATTTTTTGCGAATGTCGATATCGTCATTCTCGGAATACGGTATGCAACAGTTAAAATCTCGAACACTCGTGCCACCTTCATATTTCTCAAAATCTCTTTTTTCAGTTCCATTGTGATTCTAGTCATTTTTATTTTATTTTCTGTTGCTTTTCATTTGCCTTTTTGCACTTCATGATTAATAAAAATAATAAAATTTTACTTACAAATTAAAATCGGAAGAAATTTAACAAAGTTATAAGCTGTGGCACCGCGAACGTCTAGTCCGGTCTAGTATACCGATAGCGCTACTTGTTCATAGATGGCGCGTATAATTGAATTAAGTTGTATACCGAACGAAAGTCGTATACCGAGCAAAATTTGTTTCGTCCAAACAGGACGTATTCCGAATTTGACATATTCTAAAGCAGACGTATACCGAGGTACCACTGTATATCAAGAAATATCCTTGCAAATTTAAAGCAGAAACTCAAACTGGAGACAATGGCTACTTCCTGTACAGAAGTCAAGAACCAGAAGATGAGGATTTTCCACAACAATGAGAGTGAAAACTAACAGTGTGTATACAGAGATAGAAGTGAACAACAAATGGAGGGTTCTCTCCCCACTTCTGCTTTCAAAAATGATTCAATAGAGACACTATATCATTACTGGAAATGGTAGCACATAGCATTCACATACATGGAGTCAAAAGTGCCAATACTTGAAAACTATATAAGTAATATAGTTTTTAATATATAATAATATATATTCGATATAATATAAATTTATTATAGGTTATTATAGGTGAAAATTATCTTTTTATTTTTTTACTTTTACTATTAAAGTCAAATTGTTACATCAAAGGAATCAGATATTTTTGTTTTTGAAAAGTATTTTCATAAAATAATTATTTTGTGTGTTAAATTTTACTCTTATAATGCTGGCAATGTCGAATGCATAAGCTGATAAGTTATATTGATAGTGATCAAAATTATTTTTCCTAATGTTCTGGAATCAGCAAATTTTCAGAGAGCAGTAAATATGACCATTTTATTCATGTAGCTTGCATATACATAAATAAAATAATTTAGAGAAATAACTCAAAGTATGTAGAGGGTGTTTCAGAAGAAGATAATGATAATGCACAAAGGATAGCCAGATTCAGCAGGAAAAAATAGCATAGAAAATAATATTAATATTGAAATAAAGTTTGAGCAAGTAGTAGAGCATGCACTTTCTCAATTTTTTTTTTTTACCCAAATTGGAATGACATAATATACCAATTTTAATAATACATTAATGTAAGTAGTTTAATTTAAATTATAAATTCAAAAATAAACTAATATTATCTTTAATCAATAAGTATTTTTATTCTCATTTCAGTTTTATTTCCACGTCACACAAACAAACAAGCTAGAGACAATACAATTAATCTGATTCATATGTTCCGTGATTATCTTCATTATCATATCAAATGTTCAAAGGTATGTAATTTTATATATTAATAGGATTATATAATTGAAACATTGTTATTCATAAAAAGTTATTCATCTCTTAATCACAGACTTCTGTGATAAGACTATTAGGCATGCAAATATCAGTTATGAATTAATACATCATGTCTTAACAAGAATTTGCACACACTGTTTATTATTGTGAGCCTTTTCCAATTTTTATATATATGCACTGATAATTCTCATACTTATTTATTAGGTAATGTTCTGTGTATGATAGCAACATAAAATATAAAGGCAATCCTCACTTTTGGATAAAATGCATTTTTAAAAATATGTAATAAGTTTAATGTGCATGAAAGTTGAAAATTGAACAATAGAATTTCATGTTATAAAGGAGTCCATTTCCATAGAATTAAAAAGTTATAAAATCTTTCTGTAAAATAGAGAAGTTTTATATTTTTGATAGTGAATGTGTTACAATGCATAAAACCTCATTTAGAATATTAAAACCTTGGATTAAAGAAATAGTAGCTAATAAAACTTAACTTTTACAAAGACCAATGTTACTGAAACAAAAATTGAAAATGTCACTGCATGATGACTTGAAATTTTTTCAGCTGTGAATGTAAGACATACTAAATATGATATAAGAAGTGATTTAGGGATATTATATTAGAAAAAGATAAGAGACACAACTGTCTACTGGCATTATGGAAAAAAGTTTATTTCACAAGTATTTTCAACAATCCTCTTCAGGCAATATTGTTCATAGAGAAAACAACATTAAATTCAAGAAATAGAACACAAAACTAACAATTTTTTAAATTGTTTCTCGCACATATGCATGAAACTTAAATTACATATATAAAAAAATTATTATATAATTTTGTAAATTTTTAAAATAAAATATAATATATTGTCAAATGTAACTGTGTATCTATGTTCCTACAACATATCTCCATGTATGTCCTATACATGGAGAAAGTGCTTATAGACCCGGGGTGGCCAAGCTCTTTGATAGTTCGAGCCATTTTACAAAATTTGAAATTTTTCGCGAGCCGCAATTAAATACTTATTAAAAAGGTATGCAAAAAATTCCAGATTACAAATTATATCCGTAGCAAGAGTGATACAAATTGTTTCCTCCAGAGCACAATGTCAACTGTCCATTGCAATGACAGTTTACAAATTCAAATTTGGTCTGGAGTCGGTCGATAACGAACGATTATGCCACTGTTTATGTTCGTCCGCGCAGTTTTCGATGAGTTATATCATTCTTAACTTGGACGGAAATGAAATTTGTTACAACGTTGCACTTAGTCTTTTATAATTGTTGTTAATAATTTAAAAGACATTTTGAAACACATACGGAACAATAATAATTTAAAAAAATATAATAACACAAAAATGAAAAGGGAACTCGGGTACATTTATCGAGAGCCACAAATAATCCTTCAAAGAGATGGCTTGCGAGCCGCAGGTTGGCCACCCCTGTTATAGACACATGTCTATACATGCCTATAAGCAATTTCCAAGCATCATTTCAATTTATTTTATTTGTGAGCCATAATTTGTTTTTCTGCAATATTATTGTGTATTGTTAAATTTGTTAAATTTTTGGACATTAATAATGATGGCTGATGACAGCAAAAAATTCAGATTATTTAGTTGGTTTAAATAGAACTTGTTCTAGAATATTGTTTTTTTCAAAAATTGTTCCAGATTCCAAAAGTTCTGCTGAGATTCTTCTATAGAAGAATTTTGAAATTTAGTTTATATTGACAGCATTGCTGGAAACATAATGAAAGATCAGTTTATTATCAGTTCAAAGAAAAGATTGCACAAGTGTCAGTATGGATGGGCATCCAGCTCCATGAAGGAAGAGCTGATGCCCATCCACAACTGATGGCAACATTGAATTGAGCATGCACATGAACTGATTCTGTTGGATAGATGAGTGACAGTGGATGATGTAGCAAATCATTTGCAAATTAGCCGTGGCTCTACCTATGCAGTAATCCATGACAGACTTGGGTTTTGAAACATTTGTGAGGTGGGTACCAAAATAACTCATAAAAGAGCACAAACGGAAGCATTTGGATAACTGTGAATAACATTTGGTCAATACTGTAAAGAAAGTGAAAGTTTCTTGTTGAAACTTTTGCTTTCAACAAGAAACAAAGAAGTTGAAAGAACTATTACTGGTGATGAGACATCGATTCATCACTATAAGTCTAAGAGTAAATGGCAGAGTAAGGAATAGAAATCTCTTTAATCATCAAGAAAGAAAAAGTTCAAAGGTAAACCATCAGCTGAAAAATTGATGCTTACAGTTTTCTGGGATTCTCAAGGGCCAGTGTTGGAACATTATTCAGGAAAAAGGTTCTACAACCAATACTGCTCATTATAGTGAGATGCTCACTGAAGAGCCTCTCATTAAAATGCAGAGGATCTTGATCCAAGGGAATTGCCTGTCAATGCATGCTAATACACTGCTGCACACACTGTCAACATTTTCCAAAAACTTCCTTTTGAAGTGGTGGAGCATCCTCCCTATAGTCCTGATCTCACTCACTCAGAGTATCACCTGTTTGGTCTCCTGAAAGAAGCCTTACAAGGACAGAGATTCACATTTGAAGAGGCAAAAACTGTGCATTCAAGACAGGCAAAGACTGTGCATTCATGACTCTCAGCTCATGACAGCTGAAAAACATGTTTTAATGATGGAATACAAAAACTTATTGACAGATGGACAAAGCTGGGCAATTATGTCAAAAACAGTCTATTTGTCTTTTCTGAAAATTGATTAAACTAAATTCTACAGCCAGAGTACAGATAATTTTTCATTCACCCTCATATTGAAGAGCAAACTGTGAAAATTGTACATTACCTATGCTTTATCCATTTGTCATTCATTGAAATCAAGAATCAATGGCTACTTGTATATATATTGAAATTTTTCTAATGTGCATTTGATAAATTACGAGGCGTGTTTTTAAAGTAAGTACCGTTTTAATATAACGCCGCTGGAGCACTGCAGTTGGCACTTAGTGCATGCGTGCTGTGTACCTACATCTGTTGGGAAGCCACAAACTCCATTACAGAGCCAGTCAACTGTGTTTACTGTTGTTTGCGTGTTATTGAAATGCCGCCGCTCATTGAGAATCCCACCGACTGTGAAGTGCGCGCCATTATTCGTTTTCTCAGTGCTAAAGGCTCAAAAGTGGCTGAAATTCATCGCCAAATCAGTGAAGTTTATGGTGAAAGCATTATGAGTGATGGAATAGTATGAAAATGGGTTAGGACCTTTAGTAATGGCCTCACAAACATTCATGATGAGGAACGAAGGGGGCGACCTTCAGTCATTATTGATGATTTGATTGAAAAAGTGGACTGTAGAGTGAAAGAAAACAGACGATTCACGATTTCATCTTTATCTAAAGAGTTTCCTGCAGTTTCAAGAAGTGTTCTCTATGAAATTCTGACCAGACGATTAAATTATCGGAAGTTGTGTTCCCGTTGGGTGCCGAAAATGTTGACGGAGGAGCACAAAACCAAACGTTTGGCCAGTGCATTGACTTTTCTTGAGCACTACAGTGACGAGGGAGATGATTTTTTAAGCTGTATTGTTACAGGCGATGAAACGTGGGTAGCCTACGTTACACCGGAATCGAAGCAACAATCCATGGAATGGCGACATTCATCATCTCCAAGGAAAGTCAAGTTCAAGCAAACAATTTCTGCTCAGAAAATCATGTGCACGGTGTTTTGGGACAGATACAGAGTGTTGCTTGTTGATTTTTTGCCTCATGGTGAAACGATCAATTCAGCTGCATACTGTGAGACTTTAAAAAAACTTTTATGCGCTACCCACTCTTTGCTTGTCATGCACTGCAGACCATTACAGAGGACATGCTACACTGCATATGGGAAGAATTTGATTACAGTGTAGATGTGTGTTGTGTGACTATGAGTGCACATATTGAAGGATTGTGATTAATGCATAAAATTTTGGGACAATTGCCGCTGCTTATGCTGTAAGGTGTGCCTATATAAGATAATAAATAGATTTATTATTATTTTTAAAACTGCACCATTCATTTATAAACACCCTGTATTGTTTTGTATTCTTTATCAAGTAATATAATATCTGGCTTAGAATTATCTTGTCAGTGATACATGTTGTATTCTCTAAAACTATATTTGTGGTTTAGATTTCTAATAAGGATTTGTTTAAGAAGGAACTTGTAGTGTTTTGATAAAAGTTGAAACTTTGTAATATGATTAAAGAATTTAACTATACGGTGCATTCTCATTCTGTAATATCACTTGCATTTGCCATCAATAATTATTATTTTTTAAAATGTATTTTCTGAAATTTTCTTGATTTTATTTTGAATTGTAATAATTGTTTTAAAAAATAAATCTCTCTAGTTAATAGCATGCTAATGCTATTCCTAATAAGATGTAGACTGCTGAAACAGTAATTTTTTCCTGATAATTCTTGTGTCTTGCAGTTTCGATGTTTTGTTTAAATTTAATTTGATTGTCTCTACTATGAAGATGAGTAAAATATTACTTTGCAATTTGTGGAAATACTCAATTTTGTAACTTAAAGAATATTATTATGCAAACAAATTCTTACAGTATATTTGTTGTGAATAATTCTTATGTTATGAAATGAGAAAAGTTAAATTTTAATAGAAAATTTTGGGTGATGTCTATATTTATAATTTATTTTTCTTTTCATTCAAAAATCATTTTAACCCAGGTATGTCCAAACAGTTTTTTTAATAATTAAAAACAATTATAGTATATCTGATGTAAAATCATTTATTGAACACATTTTTGTATTAGCAAATAAAAATTTTATTTTTTAATGTGTTATTTTCAGGTGTCCTGTATATAGGATGCTTAAATTTACTACAACGCAATAACAACACTAATTACTGCTGACAAAATCTTTGATTGACATTTGTTTTGTGAAACTTTATGCCTTAGTTTGAAATATGATTTTTCAAGGCTTTAGAATGCTTTCACAATATTGTCATTTTCCTGTGTACCTAAAATAAAGATTTTGTTTCATGTGTTTTGTGGATTTGCTATATTTTATTCTTTTTTTTTCCTCTCCACATTCCCAGACAAAAGGAGGATCTGTATAAGACACATCTCAATCTCATAGAAAAACAAAATGATAGAAATTAATAGTTTTTTCATCCTAGTATTTGTTTATGCTTTAAATATATTTTGACAATATACTTTCAAAACTTGCACAGAATTTAGTCAAACTTTTCACAAACATAATGTACATTTTGACATAACTCATTAAAGTTAAATAAAATACAAATAATGTGTACTTTGCTGAAGATAGCATTTTACAAGCATATGAATATTTTAGTGTTCACGTTGCTGTTTCATACTCTGCTTGATGTCATTACAGTAGAACCCATTGAAAAAGTTTCCATGTAAGAAGTCTAAATTTTCCAGTCTCAGCATTTACACCATAAGATGTGTGTTAAAATTTCCGGCATAACAAGATTTCCTGTATAAGAAATTCCAAAATATCGGTCCCATACTTTACCCATTTAAGAAGTTTCTGTTAGAGAGAAATTGTAATCTTTTTCCTCACCATAACTTTATTAAAATTTTACTGTTTTTATAAAAGGATAAAGTAACTCCAGATGCTCACCATATTGTCTTATTTTTTGACCATTCTCCCTATCTGGTGCTGTCTATTAACTGTTGACATTTCATTTCAACACCAGACACTTAAACACCTGCTAAAGTCAGTGTATTTTACTATTCTACTATGTTACACTATGGTATGTTATATTAGCTTGATATTGAAATAAAACAATAAAATTTGTTTTTACAATTCCTGCATAAGAAGTTTTTCTGCCTGTGAAGTCTTTTTTAGAGGTCATTCAAAACCTTCTTAATAGGGTTTTACTGTACAATCATCTCAAACTACTGTATAGATCTTTTAACATTTAGGAGCTCAGTATGGAGCATTCTCATTTTTCAACAGAGTAGTTTTCAGCTACAAGTTGTTTTTGGAAAGAGTTGATGGCTTGTGATTTGACTTGTCGTTATAAAGAATTTTAAACAAGTTTGATTGGGTCAAACAAAATAAGAGGATTTGGTTGGCCAATTGTTCATCATATATCTTTATTTTCAAGATATTCATTCACAAACTTTATAAGAATGGGCATTATCATAATAAACCAATCTAGATCAACATCACAAAAGTTACAATTGAAGTTCTAGGATCTTATCTTAATTCCTGTTCTCTGTCAAGCTGTTAATCAAAAGCATGTAAAAAGATATAACATCAGCTATAATGCCACCTTATATTATTATCTTCATCTCAAACTATCCCTTTTCATTATATTAAAGAAATAGTTTTAGGTGCCAACTTCTCTCCATACAAAGTCAAACTAGCTACCACAGTTAATAAATTAAACACTATATTTTTAACATTTTGACAAAGCATTTTTGACTTAGACTATTAGTATACTAGGATGAAATAAGAATGCCAGCATGGAATAGGAAAGATGGGTAGAGAAAACAATCAAGGAAAGGCAGACTATGATATCAGTAGATGGTGTTGAAGAATAAAGAGAAGCTGCCAGATAGTGTGATGAAGTCCTTGTTGCTGCTGTTTAGATGTGTTATATGATTGTTATTAGATTTCACACTTTTCTGTTATATTGGCAAGAGAAGGATGGAAGATAGGTATGATGACTTTGGCTAACTGCTTAGTTACCAGTTTCAGAAAGTTAGCAAATATCATCCAAACACAGAGATGATAGCTCTTCATATTATTTTGTTTTTGGCCAGAATAATATACACACTGACTATAGCATTTGCAGTGTCACTAAATCACAAATTACAGAGTACTTTTCTCTAATTTTAAAATTGTTCTTAATTTGCCTCTTCTACATGGCTTACAGAATTGTGTTTTCTCTCAAAATTTTATGGATTTGTTTTGATGAAACTTTGCCATTTTCCGTTAATTGTGATGAGGAATCCAAAATTATTATTAAAAATAGGGGTCCATGACTTTATTTTGAGATAAGATAGGGTCAAAGTAACAATGTTCACACTTCCTGGCATGATTGAGTTCACTTAACTGAATTTAGAGGGCAAAAATAAAAAATCAACATGTGTGTGTCTAATGGAAAATTTGCATAAAAATGATCAAAACATGGCAACAAAGCAAGTGCAAGATCCTATCCATGCCTGGGAGGTCTAAGGATTGCACTTTTTGGCTCTGCTTCAATTCTATCACAATATGACAGTCATGATATATATCTATCTCTAGTTGGATAGGGATGAGATTAATTCAGACATAAACAATGTGTTTTCCTAACAAAAATTTACTTTGTGAAGTCTTTACTAATCTTCCTGTTGTCAAGACAAGCTCCAAGAAAAATTTTAGGCTCTCATGAGTCTATTTTTCTTTGCTATTGAGATGATTTGCTTGTCACTTTCAGCTGTCAATTAACCTTTGATGTCCACGTTAGTGCATATCCCTCTCTCTTGAAACTATCATCATAGTCTTGAAATAATTTTCAGACATTCATAAATCTGATAATGTTTGCTTTTAACCAGCTTCCATCCTACAAATAGGTATTATGATTGTCACTCAAGTGGCATCATGAATACACTTGGAACAAAAGTATTTAACTATAGCAGTTGCAGTGTCACTAAAATTGCTTTTAAAGTATCATTAATTAGCTTAAGTAGTACTGTATGTTGCATCATATCTTATGTACAGTACAATGTTTTACTAGGCAATGAAATATTACACATTCTGTAGGCATATTATTTTTTAATTTAATAAATCAAGCTTTAGTTTAAAATTATTGAAAAATGTAACGTTGTTAATTTGTATACACTTTATTACTTGATAAATCTTTCTACAGAAATGCTGCTCATTCCTTTTACATATAGAGTACAAGGAAAATATTTTTTGGAAAAATAAAAAGAATTTTAGTGTTATTAGTGGCAACAGTCCATTTACATTTACTCATACACTATTTGAATTATATTAATTATTATTCATAAGTAAATATTACTTAGTAGTAATAGTAAATAAAGGTATAATTATAAAATTAAATAACTATAATTAGAGAAATTTATATTGATAATATAAAATTGTATAAATTGGAAAATTCAAAAATATATAATACTTTTTATAAATGTGTTTTGATTTAGTTGAATTGACTTTTCTAAAGTTTATATCATCTTTCATGTTTAAATTTTTAGTTCAAAAAGCTTGGTTGGCCATTAGTAGTTAGCAGACAGCATTGTGCAGTTTCAGAAAATAGTTGAAACGAGGCTATATATAAATTTTACTGTTAAATTAATATTTTAATAATTATTTTTAAAAATGTTTATTTGGAAATGACATAAAATGACTTGCAAACTCATTTCAGTTTTGTTTTTGAAGTTTTTTTAAGCTATGTAAATTTATTTTCTCATTAACTTTATCAGTATAATTAATTATCTTATAAAAGAACAATAATCTGAACATTCAATTTATGACATAATAGATTTAGAATAATAATAAATTAATCTTATAAAAATATTTTTAAGAATTTGATTCATCTGTTTAAAATTTAGCATTCTAATATGTTTTAGTAGTATATTTTTATGATAAATGCGTTTATTCCAATCGAACATAACTAATAAAGAATTATTTTTGTTAAAATAATCACTTCCACTTCTGCCACTCACTTTGTACATTGTACCCTTCCATTTAAAATTTATGTAACAGAAAATGCTATAGTATTTATCATGAAGTTGAACTGTCTCAATTTAATTTTTTCTCCCACCTACTGACTGGCTGCTTCTACAATCAAGTTAATTTTAATTTATGAGTAAATGTTAGTGAACTTAAAATTGTAGTATAAATTCAAAATTTAAATGAATAAAAAGAATGATCTTTATTTCTTTATTATTATCATAAAAATTGTTATGCAAATTTTGAATTTTAAATTCAGAAATTTGTGTTTGTTTATAATACAACAATTACAAATCATAAATTCTCATATTTTTAATAGCTTTGAAGTAAATATTTTAATTATAAATTATAGTAAAATATTTGTCACAAAGGTTTTTGTTTTTTGGAAAATAGCATTTCTGATTCAAATATTTTAATGTTAGAATTTGGGACAATTATAAAAAAAATTGAAATTGTTTTCGTTTATTAACAGCAGTAAAATTATTCTATTTTTTTAGTTTTGTTTTTAGGGAATTTATGGGATATAATATTAATATTTAATTGTTAAAGCACAATAAGTTTTTGTGTCTTTTGTAGAAGTATCTATTAGGAAAATAGTTTTTTGAATACTCTGTGATTCATAAATTTATCAAGAATGAGTGAATAAAAACAAAATTTAAACTCAAGTATACAGTAATTACTTTTTATTGAGCTCCGAATATTTTGGTAGTTTGTCAGTCTTTATAATTAATTCTAGAAAATATTTTAAATATTAACTGATAAATTGCCTTATAATAACTTTATAGCAAATAGTATAAACATATAATAAATTTTCTAATATGAATAATGAAAAAATGGTAATGTAGAAATTTTAATCCCTTGGAACTTAATTAAAAGGCAATTTTAAAACTCTTTCCAGGCTTATATTCACTCTCGGATGAGGGCTAAGACATCGGATTTTTTGAAAGTTTTAAACAGAGCCCGACCGGAGCCAAAAACAATAGAGAAAAAGACAATAACGTAAGTACATTTTTATTTACGTAATAGTCTACATCAAATTTAATCAGCGACATCACGAGGTCGACATGTAATTACAGCTATGCTATTTTTGTTTTATTTATTTATGATGCATTTCAAAACAGTTAGGTTGAATTGTTTTGTTATAATAAGTGCTCGAGCACGTATTTATGATTTTCCTTTTTCCCCTTATAGAGGAAGGACATTTATAAGAAATTGAAAGAATTTAACGAGTTGTGGAAATTACAGTTAACAATTGTAAAGAACAATTCTTACGGATTTGTAAAGTAAATAAGAAACGAAAAAGAGGGAACAATTTTGTAAATTTATTATTTCTCTATACGATATTGTTATATAATTATTATTATTATTCATCCGTCATGTTATTTCTGTGCGAAATTTAAAACTGTCAAATTTCATCTCGGATCAATTTGATTATAATTGTTTACTAGAGAAAGTCTTGTATCTTTCAGAAAGAATCAAATAAACGTTATATTTAGCGTTTGGGTAATATTTTGTCAAGAGATTTCGCGTTTCTCCCTCCTTGCGTCATTCATTTTCACGCGAAATGCTATCGAAAATTTATTATCGTTCGCGTCGAAGGTCGTCGGTCGATTGGCACTCGGCCAAAACACGTAGACGTACTACATCCCTACGTAATTCGGAACGTTTGACGTAACAACGCCTTTCTCCACCCTTCGATCGACCGTGTAAAATTTTCAAATCTTTTATCGAAAAAATGTCGGCCTGTGATTTACACACGACACTTTTAAAATAACTGGTGTGGCCCGTTGTAGTGTTATCGATCGAAGTTCGTCGATACTGCATCATGTGACTCGTTACCTGTCCACCCTAGAGACCGAGAAGGGGTTTATTTTCTACTCGGAAATTGAAAACGACAGATACGTTATTGTTTGTTTTACGTTCGTATGGCGTTTACATTTTATCGAGTCGAATAATAATTATGAAATATGCATTTCATCATAATTTATAATTATATAGCCTATATGATTCAGTCTTTTAATTGCTAGTATGTGGCGTTCTATTCGGCGATAATATTTTTGAATAAATAAATCGATTATTTGGAAATCTAGGTCAATGTGATATAAAAGGTTGTTTAATTATGTAAATTGTAATATTTTTTAAGTGAAGATGAAGATATATTTAAAAAAAAACGAATCTGTTGATACTAACGGCGAAAAAATCTCAATCTTTCTTCAATATTGTAAATCAGTTAATTCAGCTTCATTATCGAATTGTATAAAAATACTTAATAGGCTAAATTAATATAAAATTAATTGTTATTTTCTTTCAAAAAGCAGTATATTGATCTTCGATTTTAATAATAAAATGTCAGAGTTCTAAATTCAGTTTTAATTATATTTTATTTAACAAAGAATCTTTATTAAATCGCTTGTATGGGTGTGTGTGTGTGTATATATATATATATGTTTGTATTCGTATCAACATGTCAGTACAGCAGGAAGTTTATTTTGAAAATGTTTCGATCAATAAGAATCAATTCAGAAACCTCTAACGATTTATGTTTTTATCACGAATAATAATCGATAAAATTTATATTTAGTATAAATGTAGATTGAAAATACTTCTCACTCTTAAAGTCACATTTAAATACATATTAGTATTTACTATAAACATTTTTTAATTATAAAAGTCACTGTGATTTAAACTAGGTCACTCGCAATAGTTTAAAAATAAATATATAATATAATAGATAATAGGATCTTCGAAAAGGCGTTTACTTGCAATTATGCATTCGGACGATTTTGTGTTGAATATATTACAAATTCTAAATACAAGAAAACTATAGAATATGTCTATTTCGATAATACTGCGGGTTCCAGACCACCGCATATACGATAATTGGAACTACTTAGGACCAACAAAAGTCCAATTTTGTTTTTTAAACCTAATAGAAAAATAGTTTTAATGTTTCTTAATTAATATCTACGACCTTAACCTCGCCAATATTTCATTTGTATTCGTAATAATAATAATACGCCAGCAGCTCCGCAAGAGGACGTTCCCCCTGAGCATCTGTCAGTCACGTCCAAAACATCGACGGAATAACTTTTTCCACTATTATAAACGGTTTTTCGACACGGTTTGTGAAGATACAAGTATTCTCCTTCTAGTTTATTATTATATCGATTAATTATTAAATTGGTGTTTAAAAATTACGAATTTGCACGATAACTAAATTATTGAATGAAATTGCAAGTAATGAGGCGTTCAAAAAAAATCACCCAAAGTACAGCTACTTATTCCTTGTATGTTAGTTTTAATCTTGAAGATTAAATGATGATAAATCCATTTAGCCCAAATGACTTTTGTTTACAGGTAGTTGTGGAATGAACACGTCTCAAGAAAAATGCACTCTTCATAAAAATTTTTTGTTTGTTAAAATAACCCCTTTTAAGCTGAATTCCGCAGTTTTCCTACTTATTCCGTCGATTAAGTCTTAGCTAAAATGTTGAATTTACGAAGAAAACATTTGTCTTTCTAAATAATTATAATTGCCATATGTTCACCGCTGTAAAGTGATTACTACTTTCCCGGCTGTTACACAGAGGGAAAGTATGGCGATACGGTAAAAATTGACACTCTTCAGACTTTTACATTTTTTGACTGAGGACACCTTGATTCGTCGAGAAATGCAAAATAAAAAAATCGCGGGTAATTTATGTATGGATGTATGTGCGCGTGGCACGATTTTGTTCACCCTGTTTGGGGCTTAATAACTCCTGTTTTTTTTTGGTCGAAAATTTTAAAATTTTGCAGGGATCTTTCCGCCCCATGGGAACTAAGAGAGCCTCTTTTACTAAGCCCATTATTGATTCGGCCAGGCCCACAATGGGTCAGTCAGGAGGTGAGAGACGGGGCCGGACATATCCGGACGGACCACCCCCGAAAAATTTTATATTATAGTTAAATATTAGGTACTTATGGGTTAAGAGGACGCCAGTCGGAAATAGCGATCAAAGTCACGATTTTGAATGAAAATAACAATAGACTAGTAAATTTAAATCTAAAAAAAATTTACTGGTAAGGTTAGGATGGTTGTAGATATCACCTGTTTGCCATATTTGCCGCATACACTACAAAACAATTTGCATATTCAAGTGGTTTTTTATTAGAATTTGTGAAATTTTGTTATATCTTTATAAATCGTAATTTATTGTTTGATTTAACAATTGTATTAAATTTGACAAATAAAAAATTGCATTATTCGGAAAAAAAAAAAACGCTATTTCCGACTGGTGTCCTCTTAACCCATAAGTACCAAATAGTATATTATTATTATAGTTTTTAGTAAAATATGATAACAGATGGCGCCATAGAATGTTGCCGGGAAAGTTGAGCAACTCTGAATTTTCGTCTTAAAGGGAGTCTCAGCCTTTTTTCAATTGCCAATCACTCGTTTAAGTGCATAATACCATTATGCCTAAAATGTAATAGTAAAAATGAAATCCCAAAACCCTTAAGAGCAAGATAAACGCCGAAAATAATAAACACAGATATAATTTGAAAGCATTCTATTGATAAAACGAACGCCTGGAAACATCATACATTTGTATTTTTGATATTGGCAGAATGCTCAAATGCATAATGATCGGCGAAAAAGCATTCCGGTTTAAAAACTTCCAATTCGTTACAATTCATGCCGGAATTTTTCAACTGAATTATTCAATTACCGATGCTTTAAGTTATTGATATGTCGCACCTGTCCATCGACGTCTCAGTGTATACTATTCGATTATATTAAATAGTCTTACACGCACATTGGAGTGACACCTGCTCATGCATATCTTGTTTTGGATACGTATAATGTTTATACCAATCGACGTGGATCGGTAAAATGCATTTAATTTAAATTCGTATGACGAAGCAAAATCCAGTGGGTAACAGATGTAATCTGAGTTGTGTTTCCCAACAGTAGTTTTCACAATTGATTTTTCTTCATCTATTATGAATGATTTCATCGATATATCATGGCCCATCGATGGATTGAAATACTGATTATGCGAGAAACTTTAGCTAGTCATAAAGAATTCCTTCCGCAATCAACTGATATATTATTTTCCAACGTTGCACGGATGTTCGCGTCGAATTATGATATATGTATATACAGTATATATTAATTACTCATTCTCGATTACCAGTTTGTTTCCATTTAACTTCGGGATTGCCTTCTGTGGAAGAGTAGGTCCTGGGGCCATATTCTGGTCATGGCTGATTGGCTAATCATTTGGATTAGCCAATCAGCGACCGGCTTGCGAGAGACCAGAGACCAGAAACAGTGACCAGAATACGGCCCCTGTGTGTGTGTTGGGACATTTATATTTCGCTAAAACTCAGGATCTGGAAAAGAGATTCTTGAATTTTTCGAAAGAAGACTTATAATAAATAAAGAGTAGATGTTCAGAGCTCTGTATAGAAAGAATTATTGGGCAGTTCTCAATAACAATAGCTACAACAGAAGTGTCAAATTTCACATTGACAGCTAAATTTTGAAGTAAAATTTTTTCGAAAATCGAAACCAATGTGTATACCAAAATTTTGTTGAAATATGTCCAATAGTTCTTTCTACGGAGGTTTGAAAACCTACTACCTCCTATATTTTCAATATTTGGATCTTGTTGAAAATGTATTAATAAACTTACTAATTCCGAGTTTAAATTCTTAAAAATAATGTGTAAATGCAAGTTATGAAATAACTGTTCTATTGGATTAATAAAAATATTCTATCTTTATATTAATAAAGAGGTGCGTGTCAAAAAGTTTTGCATGCAATAATCCATATGGTTTATCAATAATTCGATACGAACGTGTTTTGTGATTCATGGGGTTTCTGCTAATCGTATAGAAACATTAATAAATGACGTCTATTGTCATCCTCGCAGCTTTATCGGCCGTTAATTCTTATATGCATCCGTTATTAAATCTTACATGTTCTTTCCACGGTATTGTTAGCTCTGCTTCGATTAAAATTACCAAGTTTGTTTTAACTATAATCTTCAAGTATTACGTTAGGTTAGACAGGAACCTCCCTGAAGGATCGAGGGGCACTTCCAGTATGCCCTGGAAACAGATGCTTGTAACTCTTGACTTGCGCGTAAGGGGTTTTCCGTAAATTACGACCGCATTTTTCTTGAAATTTTTACTCCCTCTTCCCTCTCCTCCCCTCTTCGGACGTCCAACAAAACTCGACCCCCTTTAAAACCACTTTATGAATGGTGGATACCATAAGTAGAAACGAGACATACAAGAAATTTTGAAATAAAGATGATAAAGTTTTACAGTTGATGCATTTAATTAAATAAACAGACGTCCACTGAAGCTCAACTCTCCCCTTCCCCTTGTCCGATTTGTCATACGCTCATCTTTCTATGGAAACACGAATCACTACTGATCAAAAGTAATTCCGATAAACAGTTGGTGTCTGCTAGGAGTTTGTGAACTACAAATTATTATTGAAGTTTAAGTACTACATTGTACTGTCATTCAGCGGCGTGTGGTGGCATTATATGATAGGGAAGCTGTACCGACCCTGGATAGAATCACTGGAAGTGTTATACGTTATTTTGGTGTGTGGCATCCACCAGCTAAACCGCGTGAGGTTGGTGTTCTGTAAAGCGCATGCGCGAATGCGTATAATCTGGCTGCTTTACACAATTCAAATATTTTCGCCGTGGAAGCTGTCCCGTATTCCACAATTCAGCGCTTCCATTGGAAATATACATATATGAATTTTTATTCGAATATCTTATTATAACCGCATTATGTTTAACATACTTTGAATTAATTGAAATTAAATGTGAAAATAATCGCACATTTATATTTATAAAATGCAAGGAAGCGGTGCTTCCAGATTCCATGAACGACACGCCACTGCTGTCATCTTGTTTTCGGATTTAGAAAATGATCTTTTTTAGATATGCGTTTTGATTAATCTGGATGAGACAAAGTTATAATTATTAATCAACGTAGCATAGTGAACATGTTAAAGTATTGTGATTGATAACAGTTTCTTTTATCAATTAGTGAACTCCCATAAAACGCGACAAGTTTAAACTTGCATAAAATCATCTGAACGCATGTCTCGTATAAAGTAGAGCGTATCCCACCGTGTTGTACGGGAGTCCTCTGTACTTGCTACTAAAATATTAGAATGCAGCATTCAAATTGAGCAGATTTAGCCAGTATTACCGCTGCCAGGGCGTGGGGCTTGCTAGCGAGTCCGTGGTTTAAATATTCGCAGCAAGATTTTCCATTGGCTGGCAGGACCTTCGTTCATCCAATTATCATTATTATTATTGAATTAGAAAGTCTAACTTGTATTTTCAGTTTATATTTCGTTTGAGAATAGAAATTGTCTGCCAAAGATAGTACCAATTTTCTTTACATGTAAATTTCGTTTAAAAGAAAATTAGTGAGAGTATAATTTAAATTTAAAGAATAATGAGGGAGACCACATATACAAAGCGAATCACTCAAGACTTTCGGCCGGTTTCTTTGCTAGTTCAGCCAGGAATTCCTTTTATCTTTTCTGTACTTCATAGTTTTAGAAGTTCAACAAGGCTTTCAGCTAGATTGAACTTCTAATAGTTTGTTAGAAGTTCAGTCTAGCTGAAACAGAAGTTCAGCGTTGCTGATTCTTAGCGATTTTCAAACTCCTTTTTGATTACAGAATCCAATTATTCAAATAGTTTTGACATTTCTGAAATTAGTTATCTAAAGGAGTAACCTGTTCTCACGGATATAAGGTTTTCGGCTTATGCTATCATTTAAAAAATAAAAATGCATTTTATTAATTGAGTCCCATTATCGACATTTTGAAAAAAAAATCTCGTTTACCGAAACATCAATCAGGTTTCGTAAAATCAAGAAAGGCACAAATTAGAGGGTGGATAGTCAAGGCAGTTAAAGCACTTTGGGGACTCGGGGTCGTGTTTGGACGAGAAATGTCTCTCAGCCGGTGGTCAGTCCCCATCCTTCGTTATGGGCTTGGCCGAACTCTGATGGATATGCCACAGGGCAGAGTTAAAACAATGAAAATCTGATCTCGTGAACCTATGATGGTCGAATCGCAGTGTGTCCATACTCAAAATCAAAAGATGCATCTACATGACTAATTTAAAGAGCCCTGCAGTATGTCATTCGTTCTAGGTAAAGAATGGCAGTGCAATTAGCCATCCATTACTACTTATTTCTGTAATTAGACTGGAGGCATCGTACAGACGCAATTATGTGGACTACAGTAATTTATTGCTTGAAACTAAAGAGTAATACAGGCTAATTGGAGTACTTAGTATATTGATTACAATATTAACAGTAACAATTGATAAAGCAACATTTTAGTTTTAAAAAAATTTATATCGAAATAGTAGTTTGAATTTCCTATAATTTGCTCTCTCAATTCATACTATTTAAAATAAAAAGCGTATTTATTGAAGTTATCTTGTGGAAGAATAAGCTCAAAATATTGATTTGATCGAATTACGACTTTTTAAGTTCGTTGACGTTTCGACATGACTTTAAACAAATGAGATGCGTGTTTGAGAAGCCATAAATATAGCCGCAATTCGAATAAAATACCAGTTAAATAGATAAGGTTATTTTTAAAATTTTCGATGTAATTCTTAGACAAAATGATTTAAGATAAATGTCCATACACAGGATAAAAGCTTGAAGTTTTAAACATTAGATTTCTAGACTAAAAATTAAACTGTTAGAGTAACAATACTTACAAGTTATAACTGAACGAGTACAAAATAAAGTATGTTACATAAAACATATTGTTCTATTTTAAATTCTCCGCTTATAGGAGGGGTTAAACACACAAACATTTGTGTGTTCACGGCCTTGTTCTGATACTGTTACTAATTAAACTTCATCATTTAATACTAATTTTAACGTTGATTATTTAGGTTCGGAATTATCATTTGTCGTTCTGCTTAAACTAATAGGAATAATTCATTAATAAAGCTCACGAATAGAAAATAATCTCTTGTTACAATACAACTTAGTTATGTCGACCGTTGATAACGATTGCATTAACGCTCTTGTTTGTGTTAACAATTTCCCTTTTATTAGACTAATTAAAAGGTTATTGTTAACCGCTGCGTATTCAATTTATCGAAGCGATTCATTTACGGTTGTACTGGTACAGTACATGTAGCAATTATTATGCACATGTACAGTACAACCGCACATGTTTAATCGCTATTTTTAATAATTAACAAACACCAGAAATAAATTTTCCACAAAATAGAAATATTTAAAACTTTTTATTTCAAAAAGCTTAAAATACAGAATTTCCACGAAATAAAAATCAGAGGAGAACAGATGTTTTCGAACTTAACCTAAATCGACGTAATCGGTTCAAACCCCGAGTACCATTTGGAACCGCGTCACGCGCCATCCACGTGTCCACCATTGTTCCTTATCCTAAACGTTAAACAGCTGTATCCTCCACCTGCCTCCAGATCAACAAAATTAATGTTGGCTTTTAAAGACTCGCTTTTCGGTTTATTCGAAATCGGTTCTATTAAGAATAAAAATTCACGGAATGAACAAATAAAAAAAAGATCAGACGAATTCGTAGTGCATGGATTATCGTTTAATTAATCGAGATCAAAGTGATAACTTAAAAACACGATAAAATTATAAAACCTGATTCGAAATCCGCGGGGATCCATATCTACCAAGGTTAATTACAGACGATTATAAACGCACCATTCCCATTACGAAAAGTTCAATTAAGGCATTTTTAAATGTCCCTCGAGAACTCGTTGGTAAATGGTACTTAGTAAGGAAAGATGTAACCATTAATTAGCATTACTTGATAAACATTATCTACCCGTATGAGTCGAAAACGAATTTAAAATAAATGCATGTTGATAAATCTCGTGCGATGTTTCGAGGGTCGAAAGGGGAAATCTATAGTATTTTCTCATCATTATATTATACATAAGGTTTTTTTTGGGTCGACGACTCTACAAATAATCATCGGTTCGTTTGAATAGAGTCAGTCAATCAATAGCAAAACACGATGACGTCGGGTCGGTGAACTTGGGGTGTTATCGGATACATTTTGTTGGGTTCGCTTTCCACGAACTTTTTTTTAAAAACCAGAAAATTGTTCATTCATGATATCGTATAGCTCGGTTGAGAATGGGAGTGTCGCATTAACAAAGCCGAGTTGCATGACTTACAAAATGGAAGTCGATAATAATAAAGTTCCAAATCATGACAGCTAGTAATACATTAGAAATAAAAAAATGTTTAATTACAAAATTACAGCAAATAAATTGTTGCAGATCTGCAGGTAATAAAAATGCCAGTCGTGCTCCATTATCTATGCATATATTTATTTATATATCTTATATAAATCTCTGTCAAGTATTTAGTGGAGAAACTGCCCAACGAAATTTGTACCAAAATAAAATGTTTTCGAAATCCGTTCGGACACAGAGAACGGGAAAACCCAAAATTGAACCAGAAAATACACAAATAAAATCATCCTATTACAGACGAATGTTTTCCAGTTATACTTTCATCGTTAAGAAAATGTTCCATTTTAATAATAATATAATAAAAAATTCCAAAGTGAGGTTAGATAAGAGTTCGGAGGGTTCGACGAGGTACGAACGGTTGCCATGGTGATTGGGAGAGGAGTTGCTTTCACACGAAACATACGCACCAATCACACACATACGACGACGACATATCGAACCATTTTTTTCTTTTAATTTTTATTCGATATTCCGAGTTTGTTACAGCACCGGTTCAATCTACGATTTGGAAGACAAGATGGCCCCCACTGTCAGGGCGCCGATGACACCCGCAGCCACACCACAGACGAATTTCTTCAGAACGGGCCAGGGAGATTCGGATCGAAGGTCATCGTATCCTTCGTGAAAAGTCACCAGGCCATCCTGCATTAAAAAAAATAAAATAAATAATTATGTATTATATATATATTTTAAATATCTCGTCAATTATAATGGCACGAAATACGACGAGCAATTACAGTTACAAAAAACTTAAACGAAAAAAACCTGTACTGTAATATAGTAAGCACCTAAGTCATTCACCAACAAACAGGTACATTGATAGATAACGAGCGGAGAATGAATGAATGGAATAAACAGATCCCATAGAAAACTGTTATTGTTCCGTTGGTCACACGTCAGTGATCTACTATCGTCTAGATATACTGTATAATATGACAATTCTTAAGAGTAAATCTTCAACAGACCAATTAGACTATCACGCCAGCAAACAGGAACCACGCTCCGTCGACTGGCGGAGATTGTATAATAAACGGACACAAAATTATCTTCCTAGTTATTCAGTAGTTAAGTTGTAGAGGTGGCCTACTTTTTCTATTTCCTGGAGGAACGACATAGAACTTTTACCAAACGTTCACACACTATTATTAACAGATAGTTATAAATCAAAATAAACTTTTCTTTTGGCTTTAATTAAAATGCTGTCATTTTAAAAAACATTTAAATTCCGTGATTACATAATTTATTGTAAAATATACATAATATTAAAACTTGCAAAATAATTAATAGAATATTATTCAATACAACTGCATTGCATGACCTCTGAATTATGATAAAATTTCTGAAAAATTCATTTTTAATTATTTACTGAATTTTAAAATCAGCATATTGGACAGTGGTTATTATTATTAATGGGATAAAAAGTTGTAATTTGTTGTAATTAGTTTTGAAATGTTTTAAAATTATAGAATTAAAATTTTTAACTTTTCTAAATAAGGGGAAAAAAGTTATTTTAATAATGAACAAAATTTTTATAGTTAATAGATGTTACGAGTATTAACATCTTTTAAAGACTCACTTTGGTTTGTTCGAAATCGGTTCAATTAAGAATAAAAAATTCATGGAATGATCAAATAAAAAAATGACCAGACAAATTCGTAGCGCATGGATTACCAGTTAATTGATCCAGATCAAAATGAATATTGGAACATTTTACAAAATATTTTATAATGTAATGAAAAATGAACTAAAAACATTTGGATCCAAAAGAACATTTTTTTCTTTAGATTATATGCAGATAGAAGATATATTACCACTAGGATGGATTTTCTTCCTTACTCTCTCCATTACATCAATTTTATCTTAAAAGATTAAGATTGTTACATGTGCAAAGCATTTAAGCCATCATATATATTTAAGGACTAAAAGAATGGATTCAGATGAAAAATTAATAAGCATTTACAGATTTAATTAATGTTCTTAAAATGTTACACAAACATTCAAATTGACATGATGATGAGTTACATTTCCAACATAAGTTGTATATGTTGGAAACTATTTTGATCAATCATATTCAGAAATTAATTTTATTTTAAAAAATCCTACCAGAAATGGTCCTAAAATAAAGTTATCATTTGTGTAAAATTTTTACAAATTTCTCCCTTTATTTGAAGGGTTCAGGTGTAAAAAAAATGTAAGAATAATAATGAAAGTTTAAAAGATAATGAAAAAATTAAAAAGGTCTTAAGTTTTCTGCTTTGTTTACTGTAATTAGAATAAAGTGCATGTTATAGTTAAAAAGTACATATAATACTTAAAGTGAAATACATTGCTGTTTAGCTGTTACACACTTAAAAAACAAAGCAAAAAAAAAATTGTAAAGATGATCAAAAACAAATTATTTCTAGAGTATGGACTTAAGCCAATAGCAATAATCATTTCAAGACTATTTGCTATCAGCATACGCTACTGTATATTAATTTCCTTTTATATGAGGTTACAGCCGATTGATCTCAGATACTAAAATATTTTAAAAATGGTTGTGAATGTAACAATTTAGATTAAATTTTAAAACAATGTAGAATCTGGAAACATTGATTAGCTATCATAGCTTTGTGAATTCTTTTTTGTTGAGAAAAATATGCAGTTTACTGATTGAAGAGAAAATTCACACGAAGAGGCATTACCTTTTGTTTACTGCATGTTTTATTTTCTTACATGAGCTTTCGACGCAGTAAAAGGTGTCATCCTCGGGTAGAATCAGAATCGTACAGATTTCAAACAAAAATTTTAACTTGAAATGAGAACGGCATTAGCTATTTGAAACTTTTAAAAAATTGCGTTCTAAATGTTAAAAACTTATATTTGAAAAATGCATAACAACGAGGCACATGTGCCTTAATACACAGAGTAGGTACAGAGTGTAGGAGCAGAGCTAATATTGATGTTTTAATTGCTTGTATACAGGGTGTCCACAAAGTCTGTGTACATAAGGATTAACACACACTTTTAAAAACAAAATAATTTTATTTGATTCTAATATTACTAAATAGCATTTTCAATATGATTTCCATCGTTTTCAATACATAATTTGATGTGCCTTGCAAAATTCAGGTGAACTCAATTAAATAGATCTGTATTGCCATCGATGTCAGAACACTGACTAGTAATGATGTCCACAAATTATGGCGCATCAAATTATCTAGAGGTTATCTATTCTAGCTTTGATTTTGGATTTTAAAATTGTATTTTCAATTACACTTATGAAAAGGATAAATTATCAAAGTAAANTAGAATAATAATAAATTAATCTTATAAAAATATTTTTAAGAATTTGATTCATCTGTTTAAAATTTAGCATTCTAATATGTTTTAGTAGTATATTTTTATGATAAATGCGTTTATTCCAATCGAACATAACTAATAAAGAATTATTTTTGTTAAAATAATCACTTCCACTTCTGCCACTCACTTTGTACATTGTACCCTTCCATTTAAAATTTATGTAACAGAAAATGCTATAGTATTTATCATGAAGTTGAACTGTCTCAATTTAATTTTTTCTCCCACCTACTGACTGGCTGCTTCTACAATCAAGTTAATTTTAATTTATGAGTAAATGTTAGTGAACTTAAAATTGTAGTATAAATTCAAAATTTAAATGAATAAAAAGAATGATCTTTATTTCTTTATTATTATCATAAAAATTGTTATGCAAATTTTGAATTTTAAATTCAGAAATTTGTGTTTGTTTATAATACAACAATTACAAATCATAAATTCTCATATTTTTAATAGCTTTGAAGTAAATATTTTAATTATAAATTATAGTAAAATATTTGTCACAAAGGTTTTTGTTTTTTGGAAAATAGCATTTCTGATTCAAATATTTTAATGTTAGAATTTGGGACAATTATAAAAAAAATTGAAATTGTTTTCGTTTATTAACAGCAGTAAAATTATTCTATTTTTTTAGTTTTGTTTTTAGGGAATTTATGGGATATAATATTAATATTTAATTGTTAAAGCACAATAAGTTTTTGTGTCTTTTGTAGAAGTATCTATTAGGAAAATAGTTTTTTGAATACTCTGTGATTCATAAATTTATCAAGAATGAGTGAATAAAAACAAAATTTAAACTCAAGTATACAGTAATTACTTTTTATTGAGCTCCAAATATTTTGGTAGTTTGTCAGTCTTTATAATTAATTCTAGAAAATATTTTAAATATTAACTGATAAATTGCCTTATAATAACTTTATAGCAAATAGTATAAACATATAATAAATTTTCTAATATGAATAATGAAAAAATGGTAATGTAGAAATTTTAATCCCTTGGAACTTAATTAAAAGGCAATTTTAAAACTCTTTTCAGGCTTATATTCACTCTCGGATGAGGGCTAAGACATCGGATTTTTTGAAAGTTTTAAACAGAGCCCGACCGGAGCCAAAAACAATAGAGAAAAAGACAATAACGTAAGTACATTTTTATTTACGTAATAGTCTACATCAAATTTAATCAGCGACATCACGAGGTCGACATGTAATTACAGCTATGCTATTTTTGTTTTATTTATTTATGATGCATTTCAAAACAGTTACGTTGAATTGTTTTGTTATAATAAGTGCTCGAGCACGTATTTATGATTTTCCTTTTTCCCCTTATAGAGGAAGGACATTTATAAGAAATTGAAAGAATTTAACGAGTTGTGGAAATTACAGTTAACAATTGTAAAGAACAATTCTTACGGATTTGTAAAGTAAATAAGAAACGAAAAAGAGGGAACAATTTTGTAAATTTATTATTTCTCTATACGATATTGTTATATAATTATTATTATTATTNCTAGTTATTCAGTAGTTAAGTTGTAGAGGTGGCCTACTTTTTCTATTTCCTGGAGGAACGACATAGAACTTTTACCAAACGTTCACACACTATTATTAACAGATAGTTATAAATCAAAATAAACTTTTCTTTTGGCTTTAATTAAAATGCTGTCATTTTAAAAAACATTTAAATTCCGTGATTACATAATTTATTGTAAAATATACATAATATTAAAACTTGCAAAATAATTAATAGAATATTATTCAATACAATTGCATTGCATGACCTCTGAATTATGATAAAATTTCTGAAAAATTCATTTTTAATTATTTACTGAATTTTAAAATCAGCATATTGGACAGTGGTTATTATTATTAATGGGATAAAAAGTTGTAATTTGTTGTTATTAGTTTTGAAATGTTTTAAAATTATAGAATTAAAATTTTTAACTTTTCTAAATAAGGGGAAAAAAGTTATTTTAATAATGAACAAAATTTTTATAGTTAATAGATGTTACGAGTATTAACATCTTTTAAAGACTCACTTTGGTTTGTTCAAAATCAGTTCAATTAAGAATAAAAAATTCATGGAATGATCAAATAAAAAAATGACCAGACAAATTCGTAGCGCATGGATTACCAGTTAATTAATCCAGATCAAAATGAATATTAGAACATTTTACAAAACATTTTATAATGTAAGAAAAATGAACTAAACATTTTGATCCAAAAGAACATTTTTTTCTTTACATTATATGCAGATAGAAGATATATTACCACTAGGATGGATTTTCTTCCTTACTCTCTCCATTACATCAATTTTATCTTAAAAGATTAAGATTGTTACATGTGCAAAGCATTTAAGCCATCATATATATTTAAGGACTAAAAGAATGGATTCAGATGAAAAATTAATAAGCATTTACAGATTTAATTAATGTTCTTAAAATGTTACACAAACATTCAAATTGACATGATGATGAGTTACATTTCCAACATAAGTTGTATATGTTGGAAACTATTTTGATCAATCATATTCAGAAATTAATTTTATTTTAAAAAATCCTACCAGAAATGGTCCTAAAATAAAGTTATCATTTGTGTAAAATTTTTACAAATTTCTCCCTTTATTTGAAGGGTTCAGGTGTAAAAAAAATGTAAGAATAATAATGAAAGTTTAAAAGATAATGAAAAAATTAAAAAGGTCTTAAGTTTTCTGCTTTGTTTACTGTAATTAGAATAAAGTGCATGTTATAGTTAAAAAGTACAGTACATATAATACTTAAAGTGAAATACATTGCTGTTTAGCTGTTACACACTTAAAAAACAAAGCAAAAAAAAAATTGTAAAGATGATCAAAAACAAATTATTTCTAGAGTATGGACTTAAGCCAATAGCAATAATCATTTCAAGACTATTTGCTATCAGCATACGCTACTGTATATTAATTTCCTTTTATATGAGGTTACAGCCGATTGATCTCAGATACTAAAATATTTTAAAAATGGTTGTGAATGTAACAATTTAGATTAAATTTTAAAACAATGTAGAATCTGGAAACATTGATTAGCTATCATAGCTTTGTGAATTCTTTTTTGTTGAGAAAAATATGCAGTTTACTGATTGAAGAGAAAATTCACACGAAGAGGCATTACCTTTTGTTTACTGCATGTTTTATTTTCTTACATGAGCTTTCGACGCAGTAAAAGGTGTCATCCTCGGGTAGAATCAGAATCGTACAGATTTCAAACAAAAATTTTAACTTGAAATGAGAACGGCATTAGCTATTTGAAACTTTTAAAAAATTGCGTTCTAAATGTTAAAAACTTATATTTGAAAAATGCATAACAACGAGGCACATGTGCCTTAATACACAGAGTAGGTACAGAGTGTAGGAGCAGAGCTAATATTGATGTTTTAATTGCTTGTATACAGGGTGTCCACAAAGTCTGTGTACATAAGGATTAACACACACTTTTAAAAACAAAATAATTTTATTTGATTCTAATATTACTAAATAGCATTTTCAATATGATTTCCATCGTTTTCAATACATAATTTGATGTGCCTTGCAAAATTCAGGTGAACTCAATTAAATAGATCTGTATTGCCATCGATGTCAGAACACTGACTAGTAATGATGTCCACAAATTATGGCGCATCAAATTATCTAGAGGTTATCTATTCTAGCTTTGATTTTGGATTTTAAAATTGTATTTTCAATTACACTTATGAAAAGGATAAATTATCAAAGTAAAAAAAAAAAAAAAAAATGTAATTTGACAGAAAGTTTCAGTTTAAATTATAAATCATTTTTCTAACTGGCAATAAAACTGGATAACTCCTAGACTTTTAAAGCTTAAATTAAGACTATAAAGAGTATATATAAGATTTAATTAAGACTATAGTATTTCATTTTTATAATTATTTTCAATACAAAATTTGTAGTAGTTTCCTTTTATTTAAACTATTACAACTGTTATCATATAACATAAGGGTCTCCAACCTATGATGCAGTGCAGTATTTGACCCATGGGCCAAATACTGCACCCAAAGCATATCTACCCACCTCACATAAAATACAGTCAGAGTGAAAACAAGCTATCACCAATATTTGACTAGATCAACAAAGCAATATAAACTTTTCAAATCAACTAGAATTAATAAACCTTGCTACAAATGGATTTTATAAAAACCTATTTAAATATGAGAGCTTGTTAGTGTAAAAAATTTTCTTCTTGTATAGATTTGTAAGTTTAAGTTTGCATGGGGAATACAGTATTTTGTATACTTTTCAAACAAACCATTGCAAAAAATGAAATATACATAAAAATATTGATGATCATTGTTCAACAAAATATCTAAAGGAAATTTTAATATTGTATGCCACAAAGTTTATCCCCGATTTTGATGACATTCTTTCCTTAATGTTAAATGTTATTAAATAAAAGAAGCAATAGAAACTAAGATGAAATGAATTATTGTTAACTTATTTTGGAAATAATTGATAACAATGTTAAGAACAACCTGCAATATATTCCTTTTTAAATACTACTTAATATTGAAAAATATTTTTTTCAGAGAAAAGTTGATATTCACTGTTTCATTGTTATCTGATTAAAATGTAGATGGTAAAGTTCTCGTCTTTATTAAATTGAATTCCATAAATCATTATAATGTATACAGACATTCTTTACCAAGTTTTAAATTTATACATAATTATAACCCAACTTCTGACAATGTTTACTATAAAAAAATATGTAAATGATGTATGTAATACAAATTTTGCTTATAATTAAATCTCTTGATATTGATCATAGGATAATGAATAAACTGCCTATAAAAAAGAATGATGTCATTTCCTGTTTGTGAAATTCCTTATTTATTTTGATCTGCCTGCAGAAAGAAAATACAAATTTACATACAATACAATTATGCAGCCAAATTAACATGCTAATGTCTATTTAAAAATTAATCATGATGATTCATAATAATCAAGTGAAAATTTCAATTAAGTATAAATCAAACTGGAAGCAAAATAAAAATGTTTTATATTCAATGTAAAAATATATTTAAATTAGAAATATTTTAAAATAACAACTACAATTTACCTATGACAAAGATTATGACTTTTTTTGCCTATTGCTGATTTAGTATAAAAATTTAACAATTTATATTACATTAATTAATGATGGTTGTACTGTTAATAAACTTAGAAGCTAGATGTATGTAAATAATAAAAATTTCATTGCAAAACGAAATTATTAAACTCAAATTTATCATAGGAGAAAAACAAATTTTCCAGGAAGATAATCTCTCTTGAAAATAATGAAATGAATACAAGATTTCACATCATCAAAGTGTAATCAAATTTTAAAATGAAATTAAGTTTTTCATTCTTTATTTCTAGGTGAAGGATGATTGGCCACACTCAGTGGTATAGTGAATGGGAAGGGAAGGAAAAAGAAAGGAGTAGAGGATAGGAGGAGGACAAGAAAGGAAAGGTGGAAAAGGGCACTTGGTTCAGTTTGTTAGACCATATACTTAATTACATTAAGTTCTGAGCAGAGATGGATGATGTATCAGAGGATGTACATTAAGTACCAATATTACATATGTAATGTCCATATACACATAATTAGAAAAATTAAACTTTATTGAAACCCTGGACAATTTCCACACCTGGACTACTGGCAACCACCACCCATATGCTCTAGGGAACCTTCATTTCCATAAGGGCATTGCAATCATAAGCAAACTAACGTTGATTAAGCATACTGTTTTATCATAGCCTTGTAGATGGAGTGGCTGATTAGAAAGGTGTCCAGTTGGTATAGTCATGGGTGTCCTTTCATGTCTGGTTATTAGTTTTAGCCTAGAGTCTTTGTATTTTGTGCAATAAAACAGAAGATGCAATGGAGTCTTGGCCTCCTGATTTTGGCAGGAGCAGTTTCCATTTGATTCTTTATAAGAGCACAACTCAAATCTTAATCATAAATGAAGTTATCAGATCATAAAATTCAAATTTCTGTCTCTTATGTTTGAATCTGTTTTGATGTTCAATAGACACTGCTGGTTGTAATTACTTTGGGATTCACAATGAACTGATAACAATAACTGACTTTTTCCAGTTGATGTTGTGGACTAAAATTAGTCACTAGTAGCATTTCTCATTTCCTGGTCTTTTGCTTATCCTGGGAATCTTAATCCTCAGTGACAATTCTCAAATGCATATGATATTGTTTTTTCAAGGTTGCCAAACTTACGATTAGTATGGTTTATTAAGTGCATGTAAGTGGCCTCACAAATGAAACTACTTTTTCACTGCTTGCAGTACCAGAAATGCAAAAGTGACAAGTTTTGGTAAATATTTTTTATGGAAATATTGTCATGTTCTAAAATGTCACCATAGCAAATTTGGTTGCATTTGGATTGCTAAATAGCT